CTATCTAGGAGCTTGTAAGCTGTTTCATTATTTCTTCAATTCAAGACTTGTATCTGTAAACATTTGGGTCTTTTTTCATTCATGTCATCTATAACTCCAAAATTCTTTCAGACTGTCATCATATATTCCTTTAGAGAATATTTTTTTCCAGTGGTAGTTGTCCTGATCTCTGTCTTTTCTTTGTCTTAGGATTTCTGTTACTCACCAAGATTCCTGTTAGGTCACCAAGATTTACTTTCCAACTATCTTTTCATAGTATTTATTAAGCCCCCTTTTTCCTCTGATTCTCCCATCTGCCCTTCCCAAAACATTAGTAATAGATTACTTATAGTTAGATATACCTCAGAATTTAAACAAAGTCATCTTCTAGTAGTACCAAGCGGGCAAAACCCCTCTTAATTCACTATTGCCATTATTTATTTAAAATAACAAAGAGGGCTGGAAGGTTCCTCAGTGGTAGAGTGCTTGCCTTGCATGCATGAGGCCCTGGGTTTGATTCCTCAGCATCACATAAGCAGAAAAACACGGAAGTAGTGCTGTGGCTCAAGTGGTAGAGCGCTAGCCTTGAGCTGAAGGGCTGAGGGACAATGTCCAAGCCCAGAGTTAAAAAATAAAATAAAATAACAAAGAAAATCAACAATAAGTAAAACATAAGTTGCCTTATTTTCATGGGTTTCTATGCATTTGGCCACAAGTCATTGTATCCTTGGGCCAGCAAGGTAAGCTGTTACTCTATTAGTTGAACTCTGCTTATCACTGTCTACGAGTTCTGCTTGTTAGCAGAGCCCTTACACTTAATTCAAAGGAAAAGATAATTAAAGGGAATGTCTGATGGTAGAATGTTGTGTTGCATTTACAAACAGCCTGATTGACAATACAGATTTATAACACAATCAATCCCCTTATATTTGACATATTATGAAGTATCTTGAGGTGATTTAATTGTTAGACCTATTTGGTCATGGATTGGCTAAATTAATTATTCCTAGGACAGCTGTTTTAAAAATGCTATTTATTGAGAATTTATCCATTCTGGCAGCAAGTTTGTTATTTATATGCATTACTAGATTCAGTCTCTATAGTTAGAAGAGGTAGGTACAGTTCCCCCCATTTTACAGATTAATAAACTGAGAATGAGAAAAAAACACTTAAGTAATTACTGAAAATCAAATACTGATTGAGGCTGGAATTTGAACTCAGACATATGAAAGTTTGTTCCTTTGTTGTTCATCAGTGAATAAACAATAATCTCAACCATGTTGAGTTGCAGCATTGTTTCATTATCCTTTGAAATATACTATTATTCCCTCAAATGGTATTCTTTAGCCAAGAGCTGAGTAAATTTAATATACACTAGCAGCCTAGGATCAGTGGTTAACACCTGTAATTCTAGCAACAAGGAGGCTATGATCTGAGGATTACAGTTCAAAGCTAACCCCAGGCAGGAGAGTATGTAAGACTCTTAGCTCCAATCAATCTATAAAGCTGGAAGTGGAGCTGTGGCTCAAGCAGTAAAGTGCTAGTCTTGAGCTAAAGGAGCTTAGTGACAGTTCCCAGGACTTGAGTTTATACCCCAGTATCAGCACACACACACACACACACACACACACACACAAATTCACTAGCAGCTTTTCCATTTTTAAAAATGAATGTTTCACAGTGAAATATGAAGTTACCTTCCTATTTGCTTTTGACCACAATACTTGATCATTAATACAATAGTCTCTTTGGATCTCAAGAATGAACACAGAGGAAATGGCACTGTGGCTCAAGTGGTAGAGTGCTAGCCTTGAGCTGAAGAGCTCAGGGACAGAGCCCAGGCCCAGTTCAAGCCGCCATACCAGACCAACAGCAACAAAAAAAATGAACACAGAGAAGAAATGATTCTTTCTTTTTACATTCTCTCCTAAAGCCAGTATCATTAGATGTAAAAGAAAAAAATAAAACAACAATATTGTACAGTGCTGATTATGGCTCTAACACTTATGATTCTCTAACACATGTGTAAAAATATTTTTATAAATACAAAAATATTTTGTATTTACTTAGTTAACAAGGTCTTTTGGTGAATATGGCTTCTAATGTTGAGTGTGATGTTTCTATTTTCAACAGAAAGTTGAGGAAACATCTTTTTTTTGGGGAGGGGTCCGGTCGTGGGGCCTGAACTCTGGGCCTGGGTGCTGTCCCTCAGCTCTTCAGCTCAAGGCTAGCACTCTACCACTTGAGCCACAGCGCCACTTCCGGCTTTTTTCTTTTTGCTTATGTGGTGCTAAGGAATCGAACCCAGGGCCTCATGCATGCAAGGCAAGCGCTCTACCATCTTCCCAGCCCGAGGAAACATCTTTTATAGGCATATTTTAACCATTAATGTTCAATTTTATATTTGTAATGTTTTGTAGCTGTTGGAAATGTCTCAGGTTATTAGGGTATCATGTAGGAGGAACTCTGCAAAGGTTCCAAGTGAGCAAATTCTGGGCAGGAAGTCTGCCCAGGTGATTGGTAAGAACTTACATTCACAATATGTATGACTGGCTAGTTTGAAAAGCAGTAAAAGTTTATCTCTGCAATCAACCAAAACCAGGATAACCTGCCAAAGCAGGAACTTACCAGACAAACAATTATTACTCAGCTGGTGCTCTACCACCTGAACCACACCTCTAGACCCCAGAAAAACAATTCTTTTTTTTTTTTTGATGGTCATGGGGCCTGAACTCTGGGCCTGGGCGCCATCCCTAAGCTCTTTAGCTCAAGGTTAGCATTCTACCACTTGAGACACAGTGACACTTCCGGATTTTTCTGCTTATGTGGTGCTGAGGAATTGAACCCAGGGCCTCATGCATGCAAGGCAAGCACTCTTACCACCGAGCTACCTCCCCAGCCCCAAGAAAAACAATTCTTATAATAAGATGAGACTTAACTAAAATAGCTTTTCGTAAGATGGTCACTATCCTAAAAATGGCAGTGCTCATGTCAAGTAACCACTTTGACAGCAAAGATTCTAACTCCTATATATCCTTCTTTCTAACAGTTTCTCTATACCTAACTACATGATACAAATGAATCCTCTTGAGTCTCTTAAATTGGATGTGTCCTGCAAAGTAAATATCCCAACCATACTTGAACAAATGTTAGGTCTTTGAACAGACTACCTCTACCTTTGGATTCTCTGGTCTGAACTAATTAAAAGTCAAGCTAGAAATAAACTGTGTAGAATTTATGATTAACATGACTTTAAATAACGATGGAGTGGGGTTTTTTGCCCACACAAAATAATCAAGTAATGTTTTCATTGCAATTGAAAAAAATATTGGAAAGGCAACCCAGTTTATTGTACTATATTTCCAAGGGTAGGATTGTAGAAAGTACATTTCTTCAGGCAATAAAGTGTTTTACAATTATAAATGTAGCTGCATGTAATCAAGTTTTCTTTTTGGAAGATAGAAATTCGAAAAATTTCTTCTAACTTGGAAAAAATTTTTGTCATTTTCATGAATCACTCAGCAATCAGCCATGTGCTATTTCAAAAAAAAATTACTACCTTGGAATGTCACTTGATCCAATGATGTTCATATTCATTCTCTATCACTGTCTTCTCTCCCCCTTCCTCTTCCCTACCCCCCCCCCCCCTCCCTCCATCTCTCTCTCCCCATCTCTCCCCCCCCCGCTCTCTCTCACACACACACAGGTTTGGCAGAGAAGATGCAGGACCCATTATCTCCAGCAATGGTTGTCTGAGTGAAAAAGACACTGCTTGGTATAAGGAAGAACACTTAGAACTCCTCCCTCCCACACAGAAACGGAGGAACAAAGATAAACAAATGCAGCAGTGTTACTCACTAGACACCATGTTGAAAATGAACTGTACAATTTATGGTTAGCAATCGGAGAGAAAAGCTGGAGAGAGGGAGGAAGGGGTGACCCTGTCCAAACAGAAATGTACTCTTTATCTGACTGACTTGTAACTGTAACCCCTCTGTCCACCACCTATAATAACACTTAGAAAAAAAAAAAGAACTCTTCCGTCCCAATCAATATCACCTCAGAGAGCTGGAAACAGACTTTCTTCTGCTGGAACCTGTGGTAGATGATCAGGCCCTGGACATTAGGACTGCTGTTTGGGAAGTCCATCGCTGAACTCCCGCAAGTCGCACGGTGGTTCACTCGCCCAGCTAAATTATACTAAACTAGAAGGCACCGAGAAATGGACAAATGATTCCTGCTTCCATGAACCCGTGCTCCTGCCGACCTGACCGTGTGAATGTCAACCAGGTGAGCAAGAGGAGGGCCTGGCTTGGAGCTGAGAGGGGGAAGGGAAGGGAGGCACCATCAACCACAGCGTCGAGGTCTCCAAGCCTAGCCTCAATCTACAGCATGCAGTGCAGGTGGCACCGGTATGGACGATCGCTGAGCCTGGACCACGGGTTATCTAGTTAAAGCTCCTCCACAGCAGCATCTCCTAATGTGCAGGGGCTGAGGGAGGAAGGGGTCGAGCCTCTTCTGGGGCCTACACCCAGATACCGGGATGCGGGCGCCCCTCGGGACCGGGGCAGCCGCCTCCACCCCCACCCCCCTTCTAAGAACTGGTGCAGCGGCAGCAAAACCCAAATTCCGTGCGGAAGCCCAGGTCTGGGGGCGGCGGGCGGCGGGCTGCCAGCGGCGGAAGGAGAAGGGGGCGTCCTCCGCGCGGCGGCGGGCGCAGCGCTCGTCGACGGCGGGTCGCCGCGGAGACCAGAGCTGCCAACCAAATGCCAACTGCTGGCGCACAGGCGCCAGCCCCCTCGCAGCGAGGAGGGGGGGGGCGGTTCGCACACCCTCGGCTCCGAAGTTGACTATACCCGGGGTCGGAAGGAAGCAGGGAGAGGAATGAGTCATCCCGCCTAATTCCGCCTTCCCGACTCCCCTAGCCCCCGCGCACCAGCCCCCTCCCAAGATCCTGCAGCCGCCAGAGAAGATTGCGCTCAGCCTCCGTCTTCACCACCACCACCACCACCACCCCGCGCCCCACCGTGGCCTGCAGAGAGAGGAGACAGACAGGGCAAATGGCCAATGAGAGCTCTGCTCTCTCGCCCGTCATCCAATGAGCCTCGGATGCCAGGCTGGGCGGGACTAAGAGGGCAGAAGTGGGCGGCCCGGGAGCGGAGCACGGCGCGGCAGCTCCGAGGCTCTCAGAGCTGGAGCCTCCCGGAGTCCGCGCCTAGAGGAGACGCGGGAAGGCGGCAGCGGCTGTGGTGGACACGACCGGCCCTCCGGCCACCTCACCAGCTCCGGCGTTCGCTGCTTGCAGCCTCAGCTGCCAGCCACAGTCCTCATGGAAGAGATGGAAGAAGAGTTAAAATGCCCCGTGTGTGGGTCCTTCTATCGGGAGCCCATCATCTTGCCCTGCTCGCACAATTTATGTCAGGCGTGCGCCCGCAACATCCTGGTACAGACCCCGGAATCCGAATCTCCCCAGAGTCGCAGGGCCTCGGGCTCGGGGGTCTCCGACTATGACTATTTGGACCTGGACAAGATGAGCCTGTACAGCGAGGCGGACAGCGGCTACGGTTCTTACGGGGGCTTCGCCAGCGCTCCCACTACCCCCTGCCAGAAGTCTCCCAACGGCGTCCGCGTGTTTCCGCCAGCCATGCCACCACCGCCCACCCACCTGTCACCGGCCTTGGCCCCGGTGCCTCGGAACTCCTGTATCACCTGCCCCCAGTGCCACCGCAGCCTCATCCTGGATGACCGGGGGCTCCGCGGCTTCCCCAAGAACCGCGTCCTGGAAGGGGTGATCGACCGCTACCAACAGAGCAAAGCCGCGGCCCTCAAGTGCCAGCTCTGCGAGAAGGCGCCCAAGGAGGCCACGGTCATGTGCGAACAGTGCGACGTCTTCTACTGCGATCCTTGTCGCCTGCGCTGCCACCCACCCCGGGGGCCTCTGGCCAAGCATCGTCTGGTGCCGCCGGCCCAGGGCCGCGTGAGCCGACGGCTGAGCCCGCGCAAGGTATCCACCTGCACCGACCACGAGCTGGAGAACCACAGCATGTACTGCGTGCAGTGCAAAATGCCCGTGTGCTACCAGTGCTTGGAGGAGGGCAAACACTCCAGCCACGAAGTCAAGGCCCTGGGGGCTATGTGGAAACTGCACAAGGTGAGTTTTGTGGAAGCGTCCTCCCCCCCCCTCTCCGCCCCCCGCAACTCACTTGGATCCTCACTTTTGCACCAGAGAGTCCCTCCTCCCCTCCCTTCCCCTTTCCCAGCGGGGGCGCAATGCAGGTGCCATCCAAGTCCGCCTTCCTGGCTCTGGTGCATTGCAGGAAGCCTCGGGGAATAGGAAAGTTGAATGTCTCCCAGGGAGTTGTTGCAGGGATGCCTTAGGGGGAGCCGCCTCCTCCTGGGGTGGGGGGCGCTGCCTGTGAGGGCTGAGCTCAGAGCAAGCGCCCCTTCCACGCGGCGGGTCTGCAGCCCAGGGCCGCCGCCAGACAGAATGTGGGCAAAACGCTGGCGTTGCTGGGCAGAGCCGCGCCAGTGTTGAAGGCTGCCAGGCGAGCTTCAAGGCCCCTCGGGACTGAATCCCCCCCCCCCGTGGAGGGGGCGGGCAGGGAGGTGGGGTCGCGCGGACTGCAGGGGGCGGTCGCTGCTGGATTGGCGGACGCGGTGTTGCTATGGGCAGAATGCTGATGAGCTTGAACTGGGCCAGGCCTGGTGCTCCCAGCAGAGGCCACACAGGTTGGAGTGCCTAAGGTTCCTGAGAGTGGAGGGGACTGGGGGGCGGGGAGGGGTCGTCCTGTGGTCGCCATAGCAACGTGGCATGCAGGCTCCAGGCTTGACCCTCCCAGAAGCAGATCTGAGTGGCAGGGCTAGAGTTTTCTGTGCAGTTCCTGTTTGAAAGCCAAGTAGGCTTTCATTCATCCACACCTCCAGGCTTTCAGGATTCAACCTTTTAATTCCTTCAATAGTTGTATGTGCAAACTTTGGGACACTTGTTACTGGATTTACCTTTGTGGTCTGTTTGATAAGGTTTCCACCACAGCTGGTCAAAAGTGTTTTTCATATCATTTGAAGTCATGCCCCTCCTCTGCTCAAAATCCGCTAATGGCTCTATGTATTTTTCAGACTATCACCAGTTCTGTGCGCATTCAGCCTCCTCAGAGACCTCTTTGACTCCCACTCATTCCCTCTGTTCCAGCTACACTATGCCTCTTGGCTCAAGCAAAACCAGACATCTTTCTGCCCTAGGGCCTTTGCATTGATTGTTGCTTTCATTATTAGGAAAGCCTGAATCTTTCCCAATGCTTAGGTCAAAGTGGCTTCCTCACCTGGCTTCTTCCCGTCTGTTCTCAGAGCTGAGCAATCTGGATTGAGGCTACTTGGCTGGTGGTAGTGGTCACCATCTTTCCTCAGACATCCTCTAGTTCAGCCCTGCTTGATTTTGTATCATTCTGAAATGATACCACATATGTGAATTACCATGTTACTCTGTGTGTATGTGTGTATATGTGTTTATGTGTTTGTCCTGGGGATCAAACTCAGGACCTGGGCCTTGTTCCTGAGCATTTTTGCTCAAGGCTATCACTCTACCACTTGAGCCACAGCTCCACTTCTGGCTTTCCTGCCTAGGCTGGCTTTGAATCTCAATCTTAAAATCTCAGCCTCCTAAATTGGTAGGATTACAGGCATGAACTACACAGGAACCCAGCTTTATGTTATTTTTCTATTTATCTGTTTCCCCCTTCCACCTGAAGGATAGAAGCTTCATGAAGAAAGAGATCTTTATAGTATGATACCTAGATTGCTTAGAAAGAAGGAAACCTCTCTGCTATGATGTGCTGAAATTTAACTATGACTTTTTATTTTTTGTCAGTTTGGGACTTGAACTCAGGGCCTGGGCACTGTCCTTGAGCTTTTCCACCCCAGGCTAGTGCTCTACCACTTTGAATCACAGCTCTACTTCTGTTTTTCTGGTGGTTAATGGGAGATAAGAGTCTCACAGATTTGCATGCCCTGTCTGGCTTTGAACCACAACCCTCAGATCTCAGCATCCTGAGTAGCTAGGACTACAGGCACCCAGCTGACTTTTTAAATAATCCACTTAGCTGCAAGTATGGAGAGCAGGGTAGAGGCTGGGATTATTGTCAAGAAATTAGCTTTACATCACTGAGTTTATACCCAAAAATGAGGCAGTGAAGGTGATGTACAGGCCTCTGATGTGGCCCAGGAAGAGTTTCCCAGCACTCCGTGGAACCCAGAAAGGCTAGCTTTGAGGGATGCTAACCCTGGGGTTAAGGCAGTAACAGTGATGATTTATTCCCAGACAAAAGAAGGGAGGAGTGTCACTATTTTAATTAATCACTGGAGGTTTTCTCAACTCTGTCCCCATTAAATGTGATCCATGTTAACAGTCACTTGTATTTTCCTTTATAATCAAGTATACTATATTACCACAGCTGGGGCCTTTCTTTGGTATGTATTTAAGTCTACTAACCATACACCACTGTTTTTCTTTAAAAAAAAAAAAACGAAACAATGACATTTCTGAAAGTTTGCAAAACTTTAGTTTACAATTTTTCTTCATATTATGATTTTACTCTCCAACTGCTAACTATAGTCTTTGCATTCAAAAGTGTCTGAGAAATTAATCACTTTGTCTATGTGAAGTGCTTAGTACTACATACTAATTAGGATGATCAAACCACAGTGTAAAAACCTATACTTTATCCATTAAGATCAAAAGGCACCTTTCAACCCCATGAGGCTTGAGATATTAATTCATTTGTTTTACCAATAATGCTAGTTATGAGTAAATACTGTAGGGTTGACAGGGTTGAAATTTCGATGTCTGATTAAAAAGAATAATATTAAAACCCAGACATATTCGATAAGATGGCTATACGACTATTAGACCTCCCCATTTTCTCACATTTTCCCAAAGTAAGTAGACCTCATTTTTGTTCAGTTTACTTATAGCAGAATAATTAAACTGCCTAGAAGAAGTAAGGCAGAAAGATGGCAGGTTTGAATATTCAGTTGTCATCTGTCAGATGAACAGCAAACTTTATTTCCCAGCCTTATTTCCTTAATAAGGCAATCACTGTGTTAACACTCCATTTTCTCTACAGTCTATATTTTAATTAATAATTAATTATAATTAATAATATCACTACAAAAGTGTATGGACTAGAATTTCTATGCCCTTCACAATAAAAGAGAACCAAGAATTCTACTTAGTTCTCCTAAGGTTGGGCAGTTAGTTATCAACACAGACTGTTAGGAGACCTGAAAGTTTTATTTTAAACATTCTACCATATTAATCATTTCTAGATGAAAAAAATCTTGTGACTAGCATTCTCTTAGGTATACATCATCATCTTTCCCATTCAAGGAAATATGGCTGCAGTATATTGTTAACTAGTCCTAAAAACAACAGGTTAAAATGTATCTTAATTTTGTCAGCTGATTTAATATTAAAATTTTTAGATTATTTGTGACCTTCAAAATCCAGGAAAAATAATAATATATGAGATGGCCTTACAAATATCCAGCAGCAGATTTTAGTACTAGTATTTGCTATAGTTCTTTATTCAACTCAGGCTGATAACAAAGAGTTACATTTTTAGGATTTACAAATAGGCAGTTGTAATTACTATTGTCACTTTATGATCTTAAGCAGTTTACATTTCTGAATTCTAACATTATTGTTGAATTCTTGATGTATTTTTATCAATCCCTGGGTCAGTAATATATTGTAATGATTCCTTTATGTTGAGGCTGTTTAGAAGATTTGCATTTCCTTTTTACTATCTATTCTATATCTTTTCTCAAATGTTGTTTCTTTCTTCTTATTTTAAAAGAAGATTTGCAATTTAAACCCATTAAAAGAAGATTTGCAATTTAAACCTATTAAAATAAACTATCAGTTGATATACTTTTATTTGAAAAGTGTTCTGGAAAGAATAATTGTTTAGTTGTATGGTAGCGTTTCACCAAGTATTTTTGTAGCCAAATGCATTAGCCCGTCAGTAAAATGATGTTTGGTTGATTATGTACCTGAAATAGATATTTTATAATCTATATGTGCCAATAGTATAAGAGGTAGTCTATGTCCAGTTTTTAAAAAAATTCTTTTAATTCTCCTGTAGCACAATCAGAATATTCTGTGTGTAATGTAAACACACATTTTAAGGAGGATGTTACAGAGAAGAAAATTATTCCCCTCTATACCCAGACACAGTGAAAGAGCTAGATGCTGGGAGGGCTAGGTTTCAGAACTGATATGGCTAAGTTACTCCCTGGACTAGACAAGTTTCATACCTTTTTGTGTTTCCCACCCACCCACCACAACCATGGAAACCATTTATACCTGCAGTTATGAAAGTGTTTCGAGAAAATTGTTTAAATGTTTATAATTTTCTGATCTTCATTTAGCATAGCTGTGAACTGTTGATGTAAAACAGAAGTGAATGTCTTACTGGTTAACAAAGACTATACAAAAATCTCATCCCTCCCCATTAGAGAATACTTTCTCTTTTCAGAGTATAAAGTGTGTGGTTCACAGTATCTCTGAAAAGTGGCTTCAAAGAAGGTGGCCCTTGTGCTCATTGGGGCAGAGAGAATACTCAGTTGGATTAGTTTCCAAGAATATGAATACCACACCAAGATCTATTAAGCAAACAAATTTGCTTTTTCATAAGAAAGCTAACATGGTCACTGATGACTCTATTGCTTTCAAATTCTCCAGTAAATATATTGATATCACCTTGAAATAGCTGTAATTGTTTTTCCTATATATGGAATTAAATGATGCCATTAAATATAATTGCAGGCCAAATAGCACTGTAAAAAATATCTTCACTGTCATCTGCTACCAGATAATTACAAATAATGTACAGGTGGAAGTTATTCTTACCAGCAATATAATAACTGAGTTTTTCTTCACCTAGATATGTAAATGAAGTTCCAGTATGTGTATACAGGTTTGGGTAACCCTCATCTGAAATACTTGAGGCCAGAATGTTTTCAAAATTTGGGGTTGGGGAACATTTTTACATAAATAACAAGTTATCTTGGCAGATAAGACCCAACCCAAACATGGAACTCATTTACCTTTCATATATACTTATTCACATAGTCTGAAGGTGATTTCATACAATA